ACTAGTAACAAAAGAAGTCTGTTGGGTACTTGCTAGTCTTGCAATCTGTCATCAAATCTGCTTGAAACTCTTGGACAGAGCAACAGTGGGCAGTTTCCCATTATAAATACTTATTTTTTAAACAAAATTAAACAGAATCTGCTTGAAAAAATATTGCTGGTTTTAAATAAGAACATGTAATAAAATTATTTATTTACATTGATATGAGTCTTAAAATCTTAAAGTATACAAGCCATTTACGTAATCCTGTTTTATGTTTCTTTTTTTAGGACTTTAAATGTAAGGCAAAGCAGAAAGCATGAAAATGCTAACACATATTAACACTCTCAGCCTTAAGTCAAAATGGAGACTGCGGTTTTAAGCTTTTTATAGTGACAATGGAGGCTGGAAGGTGGAATCAACAAAAAACTGAAATGTTGCTAGCAGGCTAAAAGGTAGAAAAAATATAAAAAGCAGCTGAATCGTCAATATTACACATAAAAGTGGTCAAAGGTCACAAGTACTCAAGTATTATTACACACATACAGTAACCACACACACACATACATCCATACACACATGCACACAAAGCACCTTTCGGCTGTGAGATAATAAGCTGCACCTCCTCTGGGCTGTTTTGCATGACCTCTGCTGCCTCGCTGAAGGTAACACCTTCCAGGCTGATGTGGTTCAGAGAGATCAGTCGGCCACCTGTAGGCAAAGGTCATGGTGAAATTAAATGGTGCTAGTGTCCAGTGACAATACATGTACAGACTACATGTGACCTCAAACACCCCGTAGACACCTCAAGTGCCATCTTTGTCCTCCTTTCTTCTTACATGCTACATATTCTCTGCATCATTTTTCTTAGAATAAAAGACGATGCTGGATGAAACAGTCAGCATAATATATTGGAATCCGTTTTTCTTCTTTCTAAGTGTTTTATGTGGTGTTACTTAACTTTAAGTAAAATATCCACATGAGTCCATACCAGCTCTGATGCGTCCATCTTTATCAGCAGGTCCACCAGGCACAATAGAGGCTACAAAGATGCCCAAATCATAATGCCCTACTGTGTCCTCGCCAACTATTACTATACCTGTAAAAACATAAACCAGATGAACAGAGAGTTTGTTGGGTTGAACATATTCCAGAGGAACCATCACACATATTTATACAGAATAGTATTAATATGTAGCAGAAATGGCACAATGATTGTATCTAACATGTATTAGTTATGTCCAGCTGGTTCTGAAAACAGCATTTTATATATACAAAGTGAGTTTAGCTTACCTAGGCCAAGCTTTGGGTCTTTCTTTAAGGAAACACATATAACTTCTCTCTCAGATGGTGTCCCCAGTTTAGTTGGAGTTTCTACAAAAAAATGTAGTTTAACAGTAGAGTTAACATGTGGGAAAAGCAGCTGTGTTTCAATGACTTGATGATGGAGCATTGAATCACAAGGCAACCAACCAGAATTAAACGTTTTTAAGATGCTGCTCTATCATAAGAGTACTTGGTGTAAACCACCTGTCATGTGTCGGTTAAAGTGGCTGAAAGTGTGTTTGGTTATATAGTGTACCTTGGGCTGCTGGCGAACCACAAGGGGCTTCAGATCCACTCCTCTGAGAGCACGATGGTGAGAGCATACCACTGCTGCTGCGCTGACTGCTAGAGCAAGTATTAAATAAGAAACACAAAGCACAAAAAAATTACCCGTGGTAACTTCATGAAAGCTTTAATATCTTTCCTCTTCTATTCACCTGTCTAGTACACCTTTATAAAAATAATAATCTAGATAAGGATTACATAACTGCAGGAGAATCACTGACATTCTCATGAAAGTATGGGCCATAAAAGCCAATTGCTTCTCTGTCGTTGCTACAGTTATGAGATAAAAAGCTGATGACCCAAAACATTACGACCACCACTAGTTGGTATTCACGTTGCACTACCAGCACAGCTCTCACAAACCAAAGCATGGATTTCTGAAGCAGTCCTGTAGCATTAGGCATCAACACGACAGCAGCAGATCCTTTAAGTCCTGTAAGGCGTGACTTGGATCAGCATTCTTCCAGCACATCCCCCAGCATGCTCTCTCCAGTTGGAGGTTTGTCCCTGCCCTAGGTATTGCTGCCTGTAAGTACTCACCACAAGCCTTGCTGTTTCAGAGATGATCCAACCCAAGTGGCTGGCAGCAACCAGTTGGTTCTTGTCAAAGTTACTCAGCTCTTAACACCTGCCCATTTCTGCTGCATCCAACACATTTCCTACAAGAACCAACTGTTCACTTATCATCTAATATATCCGTATATATTAGATGCTACAACACGATCAGTGTTCCTTAAGTGGTCATAATGATTTGGTTCATCTGTAAATTGAATGTTCAGTGCGGGAAACAGCGTTATGCTTGTAAAAACCGCTGGAAAACAAAGTACCTTTGCTCGTTGAGGTGCTGCTGTTTTATGCGGGCCTCGATCTTGGCTGTGACATCATCATACAGCTTGGTCAAGGACTCATTCTGAGGCGTGGTCAGACCGCTGTCATCCTGAGGAGTCTCAGAACATGAGGAAGACTTAAGCTGGCTGCTCTGAGCACGGCACACTGCTGCGTACTGCACAATGTTGTCCTCTGGAGAACAAAGAGGCAGAAGTCCTCTTTAATATTTGGAGAGCAGAGTAGACTTTATGGTTGTGTTTTTGTTAGTTTCTTCTGAGATTGGTGTATTTCTTCACTGAGACAGAGTAACACTAAAATAACTAACCTGACACCAGGCTGTGGCTCAGCTGACGGGAGTTCATCTCATTGTTAAACTTGTGCTGCGCTGAACAAAGGTTACAAAGGTACTTGGCTATCTTCGACCTCTCCGTGATGAACGTGTGCTTCTTCTTGCTGCCCCGGCACTCTACTACAAATTTATGCTTCTGCGGAAAAATGAAGGAAAATTTTCTAGACCATGAAAGGAAACCATGTGTCACTCCCATAGACTGTATAAAACATGGAGGAAGCTTCCAAGTCTCATTCCTAACCAGCAGAAGGCAACTACTCTGGCTGCAAAGAGATGTCTGGTTGTGTGGAAGTCTATGGGCAAATGGCCCTAAGCTCCTTTGATTCATGCTCTCAGTAAATATTTTTCCGCTAGGTTTACGGTCTTAATGACTAGTGTGAAGTATTATGAAAGTACTTTTTGAATTCCATTACTATCCAGAAGGATAACTCAACAGGGTGAGCTTAAGGTCCGGCCAACTTTGTGATGGACAAGCAGCTACCATGAAAGAGTATGGTTTCAAAGACCTAATACGGTGATAGCCAGAACTTATTGAGACTTAAGAATAGCTTAGCAAACAACAGCTCCATCCTTTACACAGAGTTTATGGTCACTACCAACCAATGGCGAAACCATTACTTCACTCACATAAGACGAGATGGTTGCTGTTTCCCTCCAGTAGAAAGTCTGAGCAGTGGATCTACTGCCATCTTTCACCTCATAGACGATAACACCTTTGGCACAAACCCCAAGAATAATCTCTCCGTCTGAAGGCTTTTTCTCCCGTGTCACACGGTGGAACGAAACGCCGTACTCAGGCAATTGTTGACACACCTAAGAAAACACAAAGCGGTAACCACCATTTCTGTGAGACTAACAGTGGTCACAGCTATGAAGATATAGTAAAACACACTGCATCATTATTTAAATATTGTCACAATAAAGACAGGTTTGATACCTTTAGAAATTCAAGTTCTGATTCGTCGGTGAGCATTTGAGCATTGTTGGTGTGAAGTCGCAACAGCTCCCCCTGAATGTAAGGCAAGGCACATTTCTCCAACACGCTCTTGGAGACATACTGATCAGGGCGGTAGTAGCCCCTACCATATACCTGCAAACAACACCAGATAACGGACTTATGTTAATGCTATTCAAATAATTTCTGAACAGAATTAAAGGATAATGACATCATCAGGATCAAAAGCTAAACAATAATAATCAAAATATTCACCCCAAACTAAGGGTATGATGGATAAGCAGGATCTATAGAAGCACTCTACCTGGATTCCAGCTTGATCCAATCTATATATGAGTTACTAACTAACTATAGTGACGGCATATAACTATATTCTAACTATAGTTTAGCTTCAGGTACAGAACCTCAGGCATGGAATCTCCATACTCCGTCTGCAGGGCCAGACCTCCTAGGTACAGAGCAGTCTCCTCATGACAGGACAGCCTGTCCTCCAAAAGATCTCTCCTAAGCTGGAGGTAATACTGGTGTCGGGTCTGTTTGTGCCTGATGGAGAAGATCACACACACTCAAAAGTTTCTCCCTCAAACTAGGGCTTTTGGCAATAATCGAACATGGGGAAAAACAACATACAAAAGAAGAGAAATGTCGTTGATGAAGAATTTGACCCTGAAGAAAAGGACAAAGGTGGCAGTAGGCACTTTTTTCCAGCTATCTGGAGCAACTTTAGAAATCTTGGTATCATTGTCCACAAAGAAAAACTCATTATCTGACCAGAGAAGAGAGAAAAGAAAAAAACTTTAGTGACTTGATAACGTATCAGTTACAGCATACCCGCACCACACAAAAACGTTTACCATCAATGTAAGCAAGGCCGAAGTAGAAATGCTCCACAAGGTTGAAGTGAGCCACAATCATGTCAAAGACGTCTCCTCCTCTGGATTTCACCTCGCACCTGACAAGGATGCTCTGGCCATTCGGCATTACAACACTCAGCTCTCTTTGAGTGGTAGGAGATTTCCCTTTCTTTGACTGCAAAAATAGAAGTTTGAGAATATCGGATTTTTATCTGTCTAATTAATCTAACAGGACTGACGGGTCAATTTTGGTTGTAGATGAACAAAATGGATTATGAAAGATATAATTTTTTAGATGAATAGACAAAATATTCACTCTGCAAAATATTACTCTTCAGAATTCTAAAATGGATAGTTTGAAACTAAACTGATTAATATTCCATTAAACCAGAGACCAATGCAACTGAGGAAAGCACATCAAAACTGTACTTGAGTAAACACATTTAGCAGTATTCTAGTATTGTGTGTCCTTGAAAGTAAATCTCCTAAAATATCAGGACTGTACTCACCACAATGGATCCAGGAAGTTCCAAGACAACCAGCGGCTCATCCAGCACTCTAATAAACTCAGGACCCATGTCCTGCAACACACAGGAAAATGGAGAGGAAAATATAGTGTCCGCCAAATTTGTTGGTCTAGTGATTCCAAAACAATTTAAATCCAATATTTCACATCTCTGCCACTTTACAGATTTCTGATGTGAAAAGTTACACTTCAGAAGCCTTCATACATAATTTTGTGTTGGGTCTTTGGTTTGCAAAGTGTGTTTAGAAGTATTTAAACCTTTTATTTAACTAAAAGTTATGATCATTAAGTGGCTCAATAGTGCACAAGCTGCATAATCAAGATATATTTAAAGCACCTTAAGTAAGAATACTCATTACATCGAATGGCACTTTTCAGAAACATATACATATTACTGGATCATAAGTATTAATCCATTGTTGCTTGTATATCTCTTTAATGTTCTATGTGTTCATCATTCTTATTATTTGTATTTGGTTTTGTGGTTTATCTATAATAATGTAATTCAGCTGTAAAATAATAAGTACCCTTTAAGGTAAAGGGTACAAAGCATGACATTTGTAATGAAAACGTAAAAGCAGAAAGTGGCACAACAAATACAAAATACAAGTATAAATACAAATGTATTAAATTTAAACTTTATTAAAGTAGCTGGGACATGGGGGAACTATGGTACCTTGTAGATACGCCACTGGAGGGTTGTGCAACTGACAATTTTACTGTGTGATTGTGGTACACACAGGAAGTGGTGTCCTACTCAATTCGTAAGGGAAAAAGGTCTGGATGGCGGCATATGTTGCTCCAAATCCTTATCTCTGTAACCCTTGTTCCTTCTCTAACCTATGCTAACAGAACATCCTATATTATTTTATTTTTTTTACTTTTGAAGACTGTTTTCTTGAGTCTTTGCAATCAGTGAACAAAAGAAACAAACATTATAGCTAAAACTGAAAAATGTTCTCATTGTTGAAAATTTTTGCCTACTTTGTCTTTTCTGACTTTCAGACTGATGAACTCTTCACTGTCAGCTTCGAAAGGACCTTGTTTATCTTGGGTGCTTCTTTAAGGTCAGGTATGTTTCTGATTCTGATCAATCTAACAATCAAAACCTGTTTAAGTCTGAAATCCATATAAAAAGACCATATTTCTCAATGTGTTGTAGTAATAACTAAATATATAGATGATTCACAAATTACATACATTATCACAATTATTTTGGGAAACATTATACTATACTATAATATAATGTCACAAATGCACTCACCTTTACTTTCTTATCATTCAGACTCATTGAGGAGTCAAACTGTGTGAGGGATCTTGAGTTGGCATTTCGATTAGCATCCATATAAGGACTACCGGGGCTGCGGTTCAGCTGCTGCCAGCTGCCGTACCTCTCTATTTGCCGGCCTCCCAAGGGAATCCTGGGGAAAATTAGATTTCCATTCTCAGTCTGATGGCAGGTGAGATCCGTCACTCATGAGATGATAGCTTGTGCACCCAGGAGTAACATTTTGATGGAACTAGCTTTGTTAAACACTCCTTTGGGATTTGACTACTCTGTATGGTTTCTGTCTTTTTTAGTTATTTTACAACACCTGATTTAAGCAAATACATTTAACTGAACATGCCCACCTGTGACGCAAACAAAATAGGATTTAAAATGTGGCAGAAAGCTGTTATAAGATGTGTAAAACACATTTCATACCCTGTGGCATTAGCTGAATAAGATACCCCCGAGAATGTTCCGGACATCTTCTTCTTCAGCGACCATGTTGAGTTACTAAAAGAGCTCCCTGAAAAATAAACATGTATGTCACATAAAAGCTGAATATTATTTTTAAAATATGCTTCTTAGCTTTCTTGCAGGGTAAAGACTGATACCACTCATGTCTAGCATGTAGTTAGCTTAGCATATTAGCTTAGCCTGGAAGCAGGGACAAGCTCTGTCCACGGATGATGAGACTTCTGTGGCTCATTAATAAACACATTTTATATCAAAATCTATACTTTATCTATACTTTAAAAAAATCTCAACTTTGGTTGGCTTTAAAGAATAATGTAGTTAGATTTACTGAACAAATTAGGTTTTCTTCAGTTGAGTCATTTGTGGTGTTTCAGTGAAAAACTGCACCCGCGATCCTCACAAGGACCAGCAGAAGAGAATGGATGCATGGATGGAGGTTATGTAAAGGTTAGACTGTGTTTACTCAAGAAACTTATGACCCACCTGTGCGGGCTTGCTCTTATTTATTTTTATCTCTTTATACTATTTTAATTTGTGTATACTTACTTCTGTACTGTAAAGCACTTTGTGAATTCTGCTCTTAAAAAGCACTATATAAATAAACCTTACTTACTCTAAAATGTTAAACTGATTTACTGAAAAGCCATTGAGTTAACCAGCCACAGTATTCTGCTGAAATAACACAAGTGACTCAAGTAAATTTATACTGTTTCTTGGGAGTTACTTAACACAGTTATGTGTCTCTAGGACAGTAGGAAAGGGTATTTCCTTCAGGGGGCCCTGAAGGAACAGCATAACTTATACTAGTATAACATTCTCTCTTTTGTTAACTTTAATATTTAGCATAAGTTAACTCAGCAAGCAGAGCAGTGCACACAGTCAGGAGTCAAAATTGGGACACTGGCACTTGACAGCTAGCAAGCTGAAAGAACGTAGAATGACACAAATCAGTGAGAAATGACAAAACTCTTAGTGTACCACAGAAAATGTTAGAGAAAAGTGGGACAGACCATAAAACATGACTCATCTGAAGAGTACCTGTCCTATCAGTGCCACTAGAGGAGTATTGGTTCAGCACCAATCAGCACTATAGTTAGGACTGACATCATTCTCATGCTATTGTAAAGCATTGTTAGGTAGTGTACTTTGACCAGACCTTTGACAATCAACATTAAACTCTTTTTTCCCTCTTCAGACAAAGTGCTAACTGATGAAAGACCTGCTTTCCCCCTATTAGGTGGACCTCAACTAGATCTACACTTTCACTAATGAGCACTAATGAACTATACCTGCTGATTGCAGCAGCTTTACATTTAATATACAGACATGAAAGTGCTATTGTTTTTCTAATGCTTTAAGCTAATAAGACTTTTCAGAAACATTATATTTGACAATTAGAAGCACTTTCTTACTGTGTAATCTGTCCCGGACCACTTGACTGCGGTCTGTTAGCTGGGATCCATTATCAGCCATGGAGACGTGATCAGCCTGTAAAGAAATCATTGTCAAACTCAAGGAAACAGAGTTATCACAAAATCAAAACCAGACATGATCTCAGCTAACGAGCTGAGCTTCAACCTAACCACTTAACCACTACTCACCGAGTTTCTGTAAACATCCTCCACCAGCTGCCTAATGAGACGCTCTGCAGGAGGAAGCATTGAAGCCTTGTGGTGTAGCTCACAGGTTTCCAGCACCGTTAGCAGGTCCGTCCTTCTCAACATCATGTCCTCGCACATGCTCAGTAGCAAACCTTCCAGCTCAGCACTTATTTGGACTGGCTGGGGAGAAAAATACAGAAGAAAAGCAAAATGAATGGCACGCAAGTGCTAAGAATAAAGAAGAATGAGATTATGGTAAGATATAAGAGGAGTACCTGGTTGTGAGGTAGGTGATAGTCAACACACCAATAAAGAGTCATCCCCAGTGAGTATACAACCATCTGAAGAGTAGATACACACCAAATACGTGACTACTAAATAAGTTAACCTGAGATTTCATTGTTATCTACAATTTTAATCCTACGAAGTATCATGCATGATTTCCAATTATGGTTTTTCTTTTGGTCAGTGCAAGATTTTCCGAATTTAGTCAGCTGCATATTTAGCAAATTGGCCACAGCTGTGCTTGTGGAAGATCTGTTTTTCGGAACAAGCACGCACTGCAATATAAAAGACCTCAAAGCAACAACAACACACCTTTTCGACTGCAGTCCTCGAGGAGGCGGTGTGACCCTGCTGGACTTCAGGGGCTGTGAAGGAGGCCACGTCTTCATTTCGAGCACAGCTTTTGAAGGCCAGACTCCCGTTGGCTGAGAGCAGCACTGAGCCTGGGCTCAGCACGCTGCACATGTTGCCTGAACCTAAACGGAGAGCAAACCACAAGCTTGTCACCAGCTCGAGAGATTTGATAAAAAGAGATTTCTTTGAATAAGAGCATGCTTTCAGCCACAGTGTGTTTGTTATTGAACATTACTTTTGGACTAGAGAAAGAATATCAGAGATACTAAATGTAACTTTCAGATCTGAAAAGGGGGTCAACGAGAAGGTGACTTCTTTGGGTTCATGGGGAAAGGGCCCTCAGTTTAAAACATCAATAAACTTTCATGTATGGAAGCATTTACAGTCTTGGTTGCTAGTTTCTGGTCCTAATAATTACATCATGATTTTCATTTTGTACATTATGAGCTCCCTTAGCATCAAAAGAAAGAAAAAGTAGGATGCACTGTACAGCTGCCTTAACTTCTAACTGACAAATAGTTAGTCTATGACTATGAGTTGTCCCCTGGTTTCTTTGTAATCATCTACATCGACCTTTTCACATTGAAAACACCATGGCAAAGGTGAAAGGTTTCAAAATGGGACCTCACACACTGAGTACAGTGGCTATATCCATCTTTATTGTACAGTCTAGGTTTTAAATCAAGCCCTGTCCTTAAACAGTTGTGAAACTGGGAAGGTGATGAAGTAAGGTTACCTTTTTTGGAGATTTCGAGTAAGGCATCTGTGGTGGCAAGAAGCAGACACCAGACCTCATCCTCATCCAGCGGTGAGCCCCGGGCCTCCAAAACCTCTGCCAGGGTCACAAACGTACCCATACTTCTGGGATACACGAGCAAAAGAGATAAACCCAAAGCACCCCATTACCAAATTTTTATTTTATTGCAAGAGAATAAGGCTCTTTGTTTCCTTATGTTACAATGTAAAAGTTCAGATGTTCATCTACACTACATTTTGTGAAATAGACTCATTTTAGATGAAATACTCAATCAAATGGCATCGAAGCTTTCTGAAAGTTGATTTTTCCTTTTTTGTGTCAATAGAATTTAATTTAAATGAAAGCTCTTGTGACAAGCGCTTAGCATATTTTCTTAACAAATCATACTGGTATGCACGTCTGAAGATTAAATGAAAGATAAGGAAACAGAAAACGTTAGATGTTGTAAGTGTATTTTTGAATCAGTTTCTTTATCAGCGCTAACTAAGAGCCTGCTGAGCAAAGCGTGGTGATCAGCACATTTAAAGCACTTATGTGCTTAGGTTAAAGGATTTCTGAAGTGCTAAATTACCTTGAGAAGCTTCCAGTAAGTGAAAACATCCGGTGTACTGAGCAGCAACATGTAACACGGCTTATTTCTCATCACTATTATCATTTTCCAATCCTATAAAATTAATATATGTATTTTAAACAATACATACTTAATACAGTTCAGGAAGATGTGCAGGATGGGTCACAACTGAACACATTAAAATGCAATAATCCTTGATTTTTACCTGCTTATATTTACTTTAACATTGGCTTTAAAGTTCCTAAATGTTATAAAATCATATAAAATACATTTTGAGTAAGTGGGATTTCTTAAGGGAAAAAATTGGCATTACTAGAAGAAGTGCTAGAAAGGCTTTTTTTCCGTTAACAGCCAGAAAAAAGGCAAAGCTTTTGTTCTTGGACTCGATCAGAACAGCCCTGCATGACTCACCGTTGAAAAAAATGCATCTTATGCTGGATATTACTGTAGCCCCTCAGTCTTTTTTATCTTCTCTCACTTTAAGACCGCCCGTCCTAAAAGGCAATCTTCTTCTGATTGGCTGCCTGTCAGGAGGGTGGGGCTCTCAGCATCTCTCCCTGACATCACACAGACTCAAGAGCAGAAAAAAACTGTCTGAACCTGAACCTTTAGTGCTGTCTAAAGCCTGAGCTTATGGCTTACAGGGATTACTTGTACATTCTGTAACGTCATTATTTGAAACTTTGGCTATTGTAACAATACGCCATATGTATATGACAGAATTTAAGGGAAAGTACAAAACTGATTATACACAAATTTTTTTTTACAAAAAACTTATCATCATCAGCAACAACAAACCTGTCAACAAAGTTTGTAGCAAATAACAAGACGAAGGAGAAAACTAAGTTACTATTTCTTTATAGTACAGGAAATATAACAAGCTGTAATGTAACCAGATTAACAACCTAAGACATTTACACAACTTAGCAACATTAATAACTTATAAGGTTTCCTGGTTTGTTGCCACTGCAGTATAATGAAGGAATAAAAGCGGAGGCATGGAAAGTTGTCGAGGCTTTATATATTGTTTTCACGCTGGTGTCTTTAATTTACTATATTTATTCATTCAGTTTATTTTTAGGTTGTGCTGGTGGCAGGTTCTTTGGTTGGACAGGACTAAAGTTTGGCATGCAGTTTATTCCATGACCTTCCTGACACACGAACAGCATTAAAACAGTGACAGAAAGCAGACAAGCTTACTGTGCCGAGCCTGGCAACATGATCGATTGCCAAGTAACCCAAGCTCTGTTAATCAGGTTACGTGTGCTTTGATTTAATTTAAGATGACCTAGGGTCAGGCGTCTGTGTGGAAACAATTAGTTTCCACACAGACGCCTGTCTTTAATAGACATGTTTCTTACAACATGTCTATTAAAGCCAGTGCACAATACCAGTAACAACTGGAGAACTGAAGAAGCTTAATGGAACGCAACGAAAATATCTTGCAATGCAAGTCATATCAAAAAAATTCAGAGCTGAACACGGCTTATTGTTCATCACCACTGTCATTTTCCATCCCTATTCTCGAGATAAGGCAATGCTGAGTTTCAAACGATCATCTAGACAGCTCTTAAGGCCCTTTGCAGACACGATTCAAATAAGTTTGGGCTGTAAAAGGAAATAAATGATGCAGGACTTTTATTGTACATTGCTTCTTTACTGCAAATTAAGCACTTTTTTTTTAGCATGCTGTTCTCTCCCTGCTAACCACTGCAAAGCCATGCCCAGGTAAAGTATTTGTCAGGCAGCCACTGCCTCACACTTGACCTTTTGGAAGTCAAGGGTGGGTGTTGCTTAGTGATCATGTATAGGCGTGATTGGGGATCAAGCTGTCGGTCCTCAAGTGTATACATGACATAACTGAAATTCTTGCTTTCTGCAGTGAATGGTGCACTTTTTCAGATTTATGTAGAACTAACGTGTTTATTTCTTTAAATAATGTCGGTTTTTCTGTTTATTTCTTCAAAGATTTACTTAACCAAACTAGCTTACTCCATTGGGGTGGCTGTAGCTGAGGAGGTAGAGCACTAATCAGAGGGTTGGGTTTGCATGCCAAATATTCTCGGGTAAGATACTAACCTCAAGTTGCTTTCAGATGCATCAATCAGGGTATGAATGTTAGATGTTAGTGCTCTGAGTGTATTGTAGAAAAGCGCTTTATAAGACTCAGTCCATTTACCATTATGTAGCACTTCTGTTATTCAGCTTCTTCCAACATGTTTGCAAACCTATACTTTCAAAGTAGTTTTACCCAACACTGAAAATGCCTTCAATGAAAAGCCCTCTTTTTTTTAAGATGTTTTTATTGGCATGCAGACACATTCGTTGACACAAATAACGGCAAAGTACAACAGTTGATTTAAAAATCACAGCTCCAAATAAAACCTCCTGCAGAGAAAGTAAGTCACTGCATTGCTGACATAAATGACAAAAGTCACAGTCTTTCTCTTCACACAGAGCACATGATGAATGACTTCAGTTGCTCTGTGTCACTTACACACAAACAGATAAAAATGAAGGCGGCTCAGTAAAATACTCCCGTTTTTTCTTATTAATAAGCTGTATCTCACTCACTGTGTGTGGGATTGAAATGGGTGTTTTCTGCCTTCCTCAACCGCTCCCTGTTCTGCTAACTTACCAGGACTGTTCTAGAAAAGAGAGTGAGTAGCTATAGCAGCTGACACGAAGGATAAAGTACAAAACATGCTGACTTTTGGTGACAAATTGTGTGACTGTACGCAAACACACACTTTTACACTTTGTCGGATGAGCACTGCTCAGGCTATAAATGATAAAACCTGCATTCCACGCATTATGGAGCCTACCTTATTTCATCCAGTATCTGGAGAGATTCTTCTTAAGTTCCTTTCTCTGAACCTAATCCTTCCTCCTCTTATGCATCCCTTGCTGCCGTTCCACCCACCTCTTCCTCATCCCAGCGCTCCCGTCTGGCAGTTCGTCATACCCCAGTCATCTCCTCATCACAACAAAAAGAACCCATAGCACAAATTTCCCCTGTGCTTGCGTCTAATGACGTGGCCCTTTTCCCTTATTTTCTACTATTTTTAGACCGGGGAAACTAAGAACATAATTGGATTTGCAGGGCAAGCTAACAACAGATGGGGCAGCAAAGCACCAATCCATTGTAGGCAGCACTGTGTTAATCTGATGCTTCAACTACTAGTGACACATTAGGTTAAAGCAGGAATAACCACAGTGTCTTCATGCAGCTACTGACAGCTTCATGTGACTTCTCTAAAAGTGATTTTCTGAAACTTGGATTTATGCATCTGTGGACAGGCAAGCATTATGTTTCATTGGGCCCAGGTTCTTTTGTTTAAAGTATGCTGACAATGCATCATCAGTAGTGAGCTTTGCGTTTAAAAACTTGCAAAATAACAACTCAGTTGTAAATGATGTAGGTTACAACCTCGGATACCTCAGTACTATAAAGTCCTGTAATTAGACAGGCTCAAAAGTTAAATATTCCTTGAGAAGACTATGTCATTTTGGGGAGGCAGTTTCATATGTTTTTTGTCTGCTTAATCACTTATTTTATTACCCTAACATATGAAAGAGCACTTCGTAGAGACATCTGCATTTCCCCCATTCTCTGCCAGAGTAAGCATTTTTTTTCTATATACACAACAGGATGAAGTGTGGAGACAAGGTACTGACAGGACAAGGAATGGAAATTGATTTAATAAACTTACTATAATAAAAAAAATGGATAAACAGCTAAATAAAAGAAGGTAATTGATGTGTAAAGCTGTGTATAATTATATATTAGAAAATGTGGGGCTGGAATGATAAATATTGCAGTTCATAAGCTATGAAATAGCGATGAAATATTGAAGTCCACTGTGTGATTTCTTATTTCGAGGTGTTGATCTGACAATTGGGCATCACTGATTAGCGCTGCTGCAGTGAGCAGGTCAGTGAAAATGGCAAACAAAGATGGAGATAGTGAGCTGTGGTGTGAATCTTTGTGGTGTGAGCCCATCTGTGTACTGTTCTCTTACTCAATGGGAGACTGCCTCTCCAACACCAAATCTGTGTAGGGTGCTGAATAAAATGTCATATGTATTTTACTTATACATAATTTAATTATATGTATGGGATATATATTGATTTTGAGGCCTTGATAAGTCAAAATGTTACAAAGTATGGTGCTATGGACCAACTTTTGTACTTGTAATGAAAGGTTTTTATCTAGAAAAGTAAAGCAAAGGCTACACCGCATAAAAGTAGTCTATAAATAACTTTAAATTGTCAGTCAGGACAAAATTATTTTCATTTGCCGCTTTAACATGTATAAGATTAACTGGAATAGTTGTTTTTTATGTGAACCTGTCTTACATTTGCTTGATAGCTAGGTGTAGAAAACAGCTATAAAACTGATAATACTTTGTTAGCGCTATTTTAAATGTTACTTGTCACTTTTGTATAACGTTTTCAGTAGAAGATGAGTAGTTGCACCCTTCAGGTTTTTAAATAACCCTTTAGCAAGTAGTTAACATCCACCCATTCCCATTGAACGCGACATCATTCCAAAACGTTGCAAAACCGTCGCTTCCGCTTTGCAGACGTAGCCGCCGGGAACGCGCAGGCGGTTTTGAACGCCCCCCCTGGTTCTCATTGTGCAGCCGAGGAAACATCGGAAGGTTTCGACGACGTTGGTATGAAATGGCAGAAACTGCCTGGGTCGCGGAAGCACTGAGACTAGGTTGCGTAGAAGCTACACATGTATTTTGCTGTGTTCCCAGCCTGCTAGTGTGACGAAACGGGAGTGTAACCGGAGGGAAGAAAGGGATTAAAGCGCTGTTTTCCTCGTAAACACCGTCCAGCTTGTGTCTCCGGCAGCAGGCAGCGAGTGGCGACTGCGGGGTCGACACTGTTGGAATTAACCAGAGAGGGGTGAGCTCGACATATGGATTTTTTTTCTCCCACTGAGACATGTTTGACGTGTTATTGTCAACTGCTGGGAGGGGAACGGACAAATGTGGGTCACACACATTACTCTAAATAGGTGTCACCATAACGTATAGGGTGACCAGCACCACAGCAGGCAGGACAGGTCTGGCCTAAATGGTACAAGGCAACCAGAGTGAGCGGCTACACTGGGAAGTATACCTATCCATGTCATTAGCACAGCTTACACCGCCAAGCGTGAACTGGGTGGTGTTTGCCACTCGTGAAATCCTCAAGGAAACCGCTATGACCTCCAGCTTGTGCTCACCTACATCCCCAGTGTAAACAGAAATCACTTATTAACGCCTTTGAATACACCCTGTTTTTATTCAGCACCGGTTTTCTGCTTTTTTATGTTTTGTGTTTGGCAGAATAGCTGTACAGCTTGTAACATCACAGAGGTATATAAATATCAGGCTCAGACTGCAGTCTTTGTGCTTGTGTGTGTTTATAATGTGATGATTTAACCTGCAGATTGACAAATGTACTCCTTTTTTTGCCAGTTGCATCAGTTTGAGAGCATTTCTCAGCTCTTGTCTTTATTCTAAACAGGGATGAGATCAGAGGATTGTGTGTTTCTTATCTAACACACAAGATTATTAGCTGTATTAAGAATTTTATTATATGGCCAAAGTTGGGTTAGGCAGAAATCACCCCAGGTTGCAGCTTGTGCACTCACTATGTGCATCTTGGTTACACTGAAGTGCTTCTGTCGTCATATTTGGGCGATGCAGCTCTCACAGTGCACTGCACATTGCTAGCGGGGCTTTTGGGAACAACCTGCCAAGAGGACAGCGATGGTCAGGCCAAAAGATCCAAGAAATCTGATTCCTGCACCAAAAGCAAAAGGTAGCCTGCAGAGCCGGGATTATGAATCCACATCGAGCCCACTCTGACATCTTGATACTGAAATGTCTGAGGGATTATAAGCCTCTTAACTTGTGAATTTTACCATGTTTTCAGCTGATTTGTGTTGTCTTTCCGTGACAGCTGTTTGTATCTAGACACCCATCAGCAGGCCATTTTATTAGTAGACACAAGAGTGTAGCATCATTTTTTTTTTGGAGAGTGGAGTCATTGTTTGACATAAAACCAGTCGTCACGGTAGCGATGCAGTGCTCGTCCTGCTTTATTTCTTCTGCTGGGACCAGCCCTAACACAAATACAACAATTAACCCAGCACGTCACTGTTCAAACAGTCACAGCTGAGAGCAGAGACGGTTGTGCCTCTCTGCACTTTTAGATTATGGACACAAAAGGTTGGTCCATATTGCTTTGTTTTTGCCAACAGAGGCCCTAATAGCATATACGTTAACCTAAATAAATTAAGCTTCTTAAAAGAAGGGCCCAGAATTTCTGAGCAGGAAACGGAAAACAATCATTTTTTTGTATATTATGAATTGTGACGCATCCTCTTCGTTATCTGCAACATTTTACACACTGCTCCGGTCGTCTTTGTTGTTTTCAGACAGCGTCTGTGATTTGACATTGCTGTCACAGTGTTTGCTACTACAGTATTAAATAGTAATGTTAGACTGTTATTGGTTTTGTTTACATACTTGGGTTGTGGACGTGCAGTCTCATATAATGCATTTATTTACTGTAAACAGCATGCTGATAAGACACTTAAGCGGAGCCAGTTTAAAAATGCTAAACTAGCCGACAGGGTGGGGGGGGAAATCCAGTCTGTCAGCAGCTTATCCAGCTGCCTGGTTCGGTACCTGTAGATTGTCACCATTCTAAAATTTTCATCATCATCCATGAGCTGAACTTCTTATATGTTGGCGACAACTATGATGACGCTACCTGCAGGTCCTAATTGAAATAGGCTTTCAGGCTGTCAAACAGTGCACTCTTCAGTTTGTAGGAATATTTTGTGTTTGACCAGGCGTTTCCTCAGATTAGATGTATTGCCTTGTATTGAATTTTGAGCTACAAATAATGCAGAAAGCACTATTTTGAAAAATGGAATCACACCTGAGACTGCTTTCTGCTTTCCACCGCCTCCTTTTCTGCGCATGTTGTTCTTCAACATGTCGCAGAGGTGGCATCGGATGCTTTGGGTCCCTTTGTTGTTCTAACCCAGTTTCTTTTAAAAATTTATTTATTTTAAAGTCAAGCCTTGTGTTGTCTCACACATTAAAAGAATAATTCCCATTGTCATCCTCAGAGTGAAGATTACAGCTTATTAACTCTGGTATCAGATTACTACTTGATACTGGCAGATACCTAAAGCCAAGGTATTGGTATCCTGTCAGCACTGGAAAAAGCTGAATGAGCGGATCACCAGTCTGGAGCCTAGGGGATGGGTCTATTTGCTGGTATTATAGCATGTGCCCCTCTGCTTTATAGATTGGTTAAGCTTTTCTTGTGGTGTGTTTCCTGTCTGCTACCATGAGGCATGTGATACTCACACAAATTATCTGCCTGCTTTTTTGTTGTTGTTTTTCTCTTTTAAAATTTTGTTTTTTCTTATTCAGAGTATTGTCAATTACTTGATCAGCAGTTTGTCAGACAGCTTGAAATCTAGGCCAAGATTACAGGAAGTTTAACAATAAACCCCCTGTGGTTTGTGTCTGCAGACGGCCATGAGAGAAGTGTCATTCAGGGCCTTTATTGGTACCAGAATTTGGCACTGAATAAGGCCTTGTGAGCTCTTATCAGCAGCAGCTACTTTGGCTGAGTGCGAGCGCTTTGAAGATAAAAAGCGATACTGCTGGTGGAATCGACTGTGGTCACCCAGATAACTTGGAACTGTTTGATATTTGCAAGAATCTCGCATTTATGGTTTTTCTTTTCTGGGTGAAACAGAACAAAGGTAGACAAGATGGGAAAAGAAGGATCAGCTCCCAGCAGTGACAGCGTGATGGACAGCTGTGTGGGAGAATATCTGGACAGGAGCGGCAGTTCAGAAGCCATATCTGCTACTTTTTGACACAGTTATCTGTTTAGTTCTGTCTGGTTGTCAGAGACCTTATTTGCCCACCACCAGTGTGTCAGTGGATGGCAGTAGCTGTGCCACGTGTGCTTAATTTGAATTCTGATACAGCTGCAACTTTCATGTGCCACATGTGTTTATAAAAGCAGGTTGATGGGTTTAAAAACACTGTAGTGCTGTAGTATTATCATTTATTTTCAGATTAGCATGTACAAACTAATCCTAATTGATAACTGAGTCAGTTGTCAAAAAACCTGCACCCCTGCTATGGCAATTTTTCTTTAAAAAAATGTTTTAAACCTTAGTTCTACTGAGCTGCTTCAGTGTGTTTTCACATGTGTAAAAACATTTATCATTAAGAGCAGGATAATAACATACATTAGCTAATTAAATGGTTGGAGCTGGTGTCTTAAGAAAACATCCCTGATGTTTGGGCCTGGCAGAGCGATCAAAAGCCAGCCCGGCTGTGGTGAGAGCAGCTTACACTCGGAGTCCTGCTTGGATTTTCATCTGGAAAACTGCAGAATCTTACCTGTGCAGACTAAATAATTAATAAGCTATTTTAACAGCTTCTTGCACAATTAAGTATTTCCTGATTCATGTTGAGACAGAGATGATTGCTTTTTCTTTTAACATTCAGTTATATGTAGATCTTGGCCCGTCTTACCTTTGTGGTCGTCTAGGGTTGTGCTGTTGTGATTATAATTTCTTATTCAAGTGGATCAAACGTACCTGTGTAGGTTGACTTGATTTGCAGCTCCACAATTCCTTTACATACATTATTTTATTTTCATGCAGGCTTCCACACATGTACGATTCGCTGCTTTCTAACAACTGAGGTTGATGGGGCTGATAGCTTGATACACTCCATCAGATTGCTGAGTTCCATCTTAAAAGGAAGCTGGGGATTTACCTGTATCACAGAATTCTTGACAACCTTTGCAATGCTCTTCCTTCACATAGGAGAAATGATCATGTACCATTTGTTTAGACATACTCTTTGCAGCGCTGGGATAGAGCTACACATACTAAGTAAAACAGAGCTTGAATACGCCCTCTCCCTCCTGTGTGGCCTATATTTGATATGCTAAATGACTTTTTCTGAAAAGCGTGTCCAGGAGTGTTTTGCATGGTATTTCTGGTCTGTGCGCAGAAGGATACCTCTGGCAAATAAAGCTGACATTTTTGCTTTGTGGTGGATGCGGCTAAATGTTGTACATGAAAGAAGCTGAGCTCATTTGGATTGAACGGGGAACTGAATATGAAAGCGACGTGGAGGCCTCAGAGTATTCGCTGTCAAAGTTGCGCTAGACATAATTGTTCTAGTAAATTCTTGCATGGTTGCTATAGTAGTCTAATGACATGATTGAAAACTGAATCCTTAAAACCATTGCTGTTTTATACTTGACTTAATTTAAGAGCTGCTTTGAAGAAACATACTGACGACAATTTTTTTCCCCTCTGATTCAACAAAAGCTGGTCAGCTGGCAGTTTTACTGTGTCGCCTTGGTAGTCGGCAGCATGCAAACTGAGAAAAATTAAATATCTTCATAGGTCAATCTAGCTGAACTGGATAATTTAAACTTAAATTATTAAAACAAACTAGTGGGGCTTTACACAGTGAGACCTGACCTGAGCATTATGATGATGATGATGAGATAGCCTTTATTTGTCAGTTGCAGTTGCCCACAACTGAGATGACAGACCTTGCCAGCTGTACATACAATACACAAACATCACATTGCTGAGACAGGTCAGGCTAGGTAGCAAGGGGAAAAAACATCAAAATGTGTTACACAAAAGGATAATACAGGAATGCACAGATATCAACACTAGGGATGAGTATTGATAAGATTTTCACGATTCCGATTCCATTTTCGATTCTGTTTAACGATTCGATTCTCTTATCGATTCTTTTTTTAAAAAGGAGAACACTAAGGTCGATTAGATTAGAACTTTGTTTTATATTTTCTCTTTGAACAAGATAGAAATTTAGGAGTAACATGGC